CAAAGGATCATGTGACTTCAAGTATCCCTTATTTTAATTATATCAATGTTTTATCTATCTATGTAATCTGATCACTTTACTTCCAATACCAAACCAAAAATGAACACATATCATATAATAGGATCATGAAAATAAATAAATAAATAAAGTTGTTCAACCAATAAATTGATCTTGGAAGTCTTATGGCATTCAAACTAACATAGAAAATCAACCTAAAGATGGAGAGTTTTGTTCAATAGCTAATTGTCACCCCTTCCTCTATATATATAGTTGTGCTGAAGAAATCGAACAAATTACAGGAGATGAAGGTATTTGTGGATATTTGTTCAATAATCAACTGACCCTAGTTCCTCTATATCTAATTGCTACGGAAAAAAAATCAAACACAATAGAGGAGACGAGGGTAATCTGCAAAAGAGATTCGTCTAAAAGGTACGATTATAACAATGAAAACGGCAACTCAAATGCGATTTGACTTATTAGACCACCAACAAAATATATCAAACAAGTTTTGGTTGTAATTGACAGATGATTTCATCCCATTAAGATGCAACCAAACAACCGACTTCTAAGGGGTTGTTTGTTTACCTCTTAATAGTTCCATTAATATGTAGCATTTGAATCGTTAAGAGGTGAATCTTGTTTGGCAAAAAAAAAGTCTGTCTTTGAAGGGTTATAAAACCCTCTGAATGATTTTGTATCATGGGTCTCCCTTAACCATTCAACGCCTTAATTTCATTGTAAACAATTATCAAACAATTATATTTCATTTTACACTATATCATGAAAGTCTCTTAATCATTCTGACAACTTAATTATTCTTTGATTAGGCTTTCGCCTGGATCTCTTTTTCCTGTTTTCGTTTATAATATTGCATGGAAACTTCCTCTAAAAAAACTTCAAGCATAAATCGAACTAAGGGGTCGTTTACCAAACACTTACCCGGGTAAGCGCTTACCAAGTCATATTACCTCATCGGATGAATATGGTAAGGACTAGAGAACGAAACAAGGACCATGAGTCTTACCCGGTAAATGAGGGCGACGACTTTTACCACGGTAAGCACTTACCGGGTGAATTGTTGCATACAATGTCGTTTTGATGGATTAAAATCTTACCCAATAAGTAAATAATAATATTAAATCTTACCGGTAAACACTTGTCGGGTAAATGTTTTGTAAATGCCCCTCGAATGAGCGTCAAACACTTTTAAAAATTGTGGTGTTTTTTTAACTTCTTACCCTTCTTTTATGGTTTCTTTACATTTTTGGTCCAACTCCTCTCTTGTTGAGCCTTCTCCCTATTCATGAGTGTTTAGGTGACTCCACTTTGCAGAGGAAGACGATAGCAGGAGCACCCATGGCCATGGGGAATCCATCATCATCTTCACTTCCCCTCAAATTGGCCTTCATCCTCTCATTCTCTCTCACTGCTTCTTCTTCTTCTTCTTCTTCATCATCTTCTTCCTATTACTCTCCCACGCCCCCTAAATCCCATTATCATTACCTCTCACTTCGCAAATTTAACTCCAAGAAAGCCTCCACCGCACCACCCACCGCCTCCGCCGGAGACATACTCTCACTCCTTGGAACACCTCAACAAGCTTCCTCAGTCAACCCCAAGGTTGCCGCTGAACTTCGATCCTGCTTCAAGTTCCTTGTTCCTTTTAATTCTACAACTAGTTCCCCTTCCAAGTTAGGAAATCGGCCTAGTAAATCCTCAACCGATTCGGAAATTCGGTTCCCGCGGCGGTCGCTGAATTCGGAATGCCGTTCTGACTCTTGGAGTGATAAGGATGAGCTCGTGTGGTCACCGCCGGCACCTGTATTGGAGATCGCTCGACTTGCTTTTGATTCTGGTGGTGATCCAGGGTGTATTCAACGTACCCTTGATCCCACGATGATCGATGTCAGTTTTCTATTCCCTTATTTAGAATTTTTATGCTATTAATACGCTATGATTAATCGAGATCATTTCCGTATTCACATTTGTAATAATCTTATCAACTTTTGGGAGGAAATTTGGTAAGCTTGGCGAACTGTGTAGCAGGTTATTACTGCTACAAATTTGGAAAATTTTCCGTAAAGCCGATGGCATCATATTCCTATCAATCATCAATCCAATAGAAGAAAGATTTGGATCCCCTTGATTCTTGGAGAAAACCATGGATTGAATTTAATTCCAACTATAAGTTGTAATTTGATTTGATCTTAGCTTTGATCAACTGTTACATTAAAAAATTGTAGATACATCTGGTGACATAAATCTTTGAAACGTAGACTTTAGCTTCAGAATCATAGATGGCACATTGTGGGGCATCGTTTTTGTTTCTTCTTGAAGACTGAGGATTGAACTCTCTTTATGTAATATGTAGTGTAAAGGTCTCCATAGCCCCAACACTCGAAAAGGGTGCTTCCAAGGTTTCATTGCTTCGTGAATCACTTGCCGATAGAAATTTTCGGTGTATGCAGTTTTTACTCTAATATGTTACACTGAAAATAAAAAATAACTTGAGTAGAATTCTAGATCACGCGAAGGAAAGAAGTACAAAGTGGACTGTTAAAAATCATACTGCTGGTTATTGTTCTACACAAAAAAAGGGTAGGCGCCACCCTCTTGAATGCTCCCACCACACTATTCTCACGGTCATCATGGGGGAGGGAAATCGCATTCTCCCTAATGGCAGGTCATATCAGCGGGGATATTATTCTATACAAGGATCAGTAGAGGGTATCACTAAAGAGTAGCTAGCATAGACAGGAAAAACGATTCTTAGGCATGGAACGTAGTTTGGGTATTTTATGCAAGCGTTTCTAATTTTCAGACAGTTCAATGAACCTTGAAGATGATAGACAGATAAAATAGCTCATAGAATAGTGAAGAGGCTTGTATTTAGGTTCATATGATAGCATTGAAGGTTCACATTGGAACCGATCCCTCCACATCACTGCAAAAGGTTATTAGATGGAAGAAATATGTTGCTTCTTCTCAGTAACTCTTTTTTGGATTTTACTATGGATGTGATTTATTGAATGTTGGTAATGGAAGCTTCTTTTAACAATGTCACAGATACCTGATGTTCAAGGATCAAACAAAAATCGATGTCAACTTACAAGAACACCTTATGGAAGACGCTTTATAAACGAGGTTTGCATCATATAAGTGCCTAATTGAGAGCTCAAGTATATGAACTCTGGTAATCTTCTTATTGTTATTTTTATTGTGGTTGATTTTATTGTTACATTAACATCTTACAGGAATTGAATTTATACATGGAATTTTTGTTCAAACTTATTGCTGCCCGTGGTCCCAAAGTTGGGTTGCATGTATCATTAGATCGATATGATTTCTTTCATGGTCATCTTTTCATTGCCGCGGATGGAAGAGTTGGCATTTTGTAAGTTGATAGCATCAACTATTGTTAAATAGAGTAAAGAAGCCATAGTATCATAAAATTGAGTTTGTGAAGATGTGAAACAAAAGAGGGCACGCATCATGGTTCTATTTTCTTCTGCCTCCATAAGTGTTCCACCAAGTTTAATGTTTGTTTTCTGGTTTTCTGGTTTTCTTTTGTACCATAACTGGAATGCTATCTAGATATACTATCATGTATCTTCAGCCTTTGATCATCAAGGTTTCACATATTGGCAGGTTTCATGCTAAAGAATACCTAGCATATGATAAAGAAGTGTTCCCATATAACATGGGATATTGCCAAGCAGGTAGGTATACACTTGAATTTCTACAGTGTTACATTCTTTTTACCCTTCAATGCTTTATGGAGGCCAGGTCGGAGTAATCTYAATTCTCTAGAGTTCATGAACTAGGACAAAGAAAGCAGCCCATGTGTATGCAAGCAGGGTAAAGATGCTTGCAGAAACTCTCTTGAATGCAGCCATATTAATTTCTTTGTTTGGAATACTTTTAATATATAAAGATGAGGTAGTTTTCAGCTAGCCAATTGTTATTTTGGTGCTTTTTGTTTCAGGTTCTAATGTGACATATGATGATTCGATGAATCTGCGGAACATTTTGTGGTTAGCTCCTTTGCCGAGTAATTCCATCAGCGGTGGGTCTGCACCTGGTACCTCATTTAACCAATCAATCTAATTGAGTGACAACACTTGGCTTTATCTTTGTGAATTGAAACTGCTGCTTTTGGTGATTAGCGGATACTTCTGAATCTTATCAGAATTTTTCCAGTGTACATTCTTGAACTTGAATCTTCATGCATGTAGTGGTGTTGTTTTTTTTTTTTTAATGAAACAACTACTTGCCCAACCATGTGATGGAAACGAACTGAGATGATGTAAGGGTTCATTCACTAAATTTTATCCAAGAACTTGATTTGATATGCACCTATAATACCCCATTATATGCAGTCGATTATTTGGTGGCAGGAAGTGAGTTGCTGCTGTTTGAAGCATACAACCACAACCTAGTGTCTCAAATAGATATAGCACTGCTACTTATATGACAATGTCTATGAGAAATAACCTAGCAATTAGACTTTACCATTCCAGCATAGTTAAAAGTGCACAAGTCTTTCCACCATGAATTTGGAAGAGGTGATACCAATTTGGCATATTCTCTCCCTCCCATGGATGCACTGCACATGCCTTTATGAATTGGTTCAAAGCAGTTTCTATATCCATAAAAACATGGTACTATAGTTTATAGAGTGACATGTTCTAACTTATCCCTTATTCTGGACTAGTGTTAAATTCCTTGTGTTGGAAAATAGCATCTTGCTTTATTTATTTCCTACGAATGGGAAGTGAGGTTGTTTAGTTAATTTACGTCCTTGCATTGGAAGAAGTGAATGCTCCTGAGTTACTTATTAAGTATCTACGAGAATTATACAGTTTGGAAGGAAGACTTGAGCCCGTGTGTCTGACTGACTTGATTATTATGTTAATTTGGTAGGGGTGCTAGTGGTATTGGATGCGCATCCAGGAGGAATCATCTATCGAGATATAATACCTGAATATGTAGATTATGTCAGAACGATATATGAAGGTTCCATCCTTACATTATTCATGATTGACCTTGACCATCTAAAACTAGTAATAAATTTCTGAATGATGGAAGTTTGTTTTTTTTCTTTTGGCAGATGATTTTGGCGATAACGTAGTTGATGTCAACTACCTAAATGTAGGAGCTGCAGAGGCTGACTATCAGATATTCATTTGCTAATACTTGACCCATTGCATTGCAGGTCAGTTATGTATGATTTTTCAGAGAACATTTAGTCCCTCCTCATGATGTGTTGGATATTGAAGAAGATGTAAAAAGCTTGAGAGATTGGTGTATTGCAACTGAGAAATTAACATAGGTTTGGAAAAGGAGAGACTTTATGAGCTTTGTGCCTTAAATAACACTTTTCCATTCAGATTCTTAAGGAAAGAATGTATGTAACTGGAAAAAGAAACATAGTACATGAAGGTGTCTTTCAATTTGATTGCTCCAAGATCCTTTCTGCAAACATCGGCTATTGGATCATGCTTTCGGCCCTTAAAACCAAACAAACTCCGTATATTTCATTCACAAGTCGGTCTTTATTTCCGAAAAGACCCTAAAAAAAGACTATTTTATCCTTGTTTCCGAAAACGGGTCATTGTAAAATCCCGTCATAATAATGTTGGACTCATCTTAATTTGACTGAATGAAGATTATTTGTCGGAATTGTGTCCACATTCACTACTACAACTTTCAGGATTCTTTTTTCTTCTCGTGTGAAATAAGAAAAGACTTGAACAGGGTTTTTAAAAATAAAAATAAAAATAAAAAGACTTGTATTTTGTTGCAAAACACTTGCCGGTGAGAATTGTTATCAGGTAATAAGATGTTATGTAGGGGTGTATGCCGGTTCGGTTGGGTTGGGTGGTTTATAACATTTTTACAATCCAACCCAATTATGGTGGTTTGGAAAAATCTCAACCCAACCCAATCCAACTCTTGCGGGTTGAGACGGTTTGAGTTGGGTTGGCGGGTTAGTAGTTGCATAAATTTGATGAATAAAATAATTCATAAAACTTAAGTTTATAGATAATATTATAAAATGTTCTATCTAAAAATGTTACAATAGGTTTATATGACCTTTTTTGATGTTTCAACAAGTGTTTTAGAAAGATCTTTAAATAAAATGGCATATTAGTTATTTTATAGAAACATGTGGAGAAGTGTCCCGTAAACTCATCTATTTATAGACCAATGTTCATGTGACACTTTTTCAAGTCATGTCGTATAAAATAACTTCCACGACACTTTAACATAGAATTTATTAAAACGCCCAAAATCATTCTATAAACATATTACAACTCTTTTAAATGAGATATATTTCTTGTTTCGTCCTATAAAGTATCATATTAGGCAGGGGCGGACGCAAAGAGAAGCCGTTGGGGTCCTGGGCCCCCAACAAATTTTTTTTTACAAAGCCCAAGTTTTTTTTTAAGTTGTAATTTTTAATTTTTCTTCGTTTGGGCCCCCAACATGAATTTGTAAGAGGCCCTCACTGCCTCACACTCACAGATCTGGTTAGACGAAGGAAGCTGGAAGCAGTAAGTAGCATAGGCGCAGGCGCGCAACACCGATTAGTCGATTCGAAGCAGGGAAGAACCGAATCGAAGACACCGAACTGACCGAAGTGGCGAAGTGTTGTGCTGTT